AGACACATATCTATATATATATATATTAAATTTGATTAACTTTTTTCGATAATGGGTCTCAAGGCCGTTTAATTTATTTTGAGATTAGTGCAATATGAATTTTGATTGATTTTTTTTTATGTTGGATCCATCTTAAAACAAAACTGATGGGTTTGAGACCAACACATCATCACCCAAAACTTTCTTGCTTAAATTATCTTAAAAACAACTTTTTGAAACTAGAGAAAAATGGTGGGTGATTTATATGCACGCAACTGAATTTTTATATATTTACATATTTAACACAATTTTTTATATTTATTTTTATAACAACTTAATCTTTATACATAAAAGTATTGCTAATTTTCGCTTATCTCAAATAAGATACATTTTTTTTATTACACAAGATTAATGTGATTTAGCCCCTAGAATGCTATTTAAGTAAATATAAATGCCTAAGTTTTTAATTATTTAATTTTGTCAATATTTTGTATATGTATTTAGGGAGTGCTTGGCATCAAGGTGAAGATTATGCTTGATTGGGATCCCAAGGGCAAGCAGGGACCGCCTACTCCTCTACCTGATCTCGTCACAATTCATCCACCTAAGGAGGAAGAAGAGTATGGAAGACCATCTTTGCTAATTCCTGCAGAAGTTGAAGTTCCTCCAGCTATTGCAGCTCAATAAATACCATTATGTGTGTTAGGCTTGAGGATTGAGTCCTCCCCTAGATAAATTTTTTTTAATATATATATATAGACTGTTTAAAGCAAGCATCTACTGTTCTCGTCGCCTGTGAAATTTGCTTGTTTACGTGTATTTGTATGAGTTGAAGTGGTCTTCTTGACTACATCCGTCTTTATATACCAGATACCATTCTGGCTTTTATCAGGCATATTTTTTTTGGAAGATTTACATACATCTCACTCGATTCATGTGCATTTACGCATCTAACACCTAAACCTCGATGTTTACATCCTAGTTTTACATACGTCCCACCTGCTCGCCCGGTCTCACACCCTCTCCAGAATTTAAGCAAAGCAAACTCTCTCATTAACTCTCTTCCTCCGGCCAAGTCTCCGCACAGACTACTCTTCCGGCTCATGCGAAATCAGTTTTCTTCAGCAACAGGAAAGCATATTGGCAATGGTGATTATTTTTCTTGTGATAAATTTACATTCAAAAATTAAGAAAATCAAAATACTTAACTGTTTTTATGGGCTTAATGTATTGAGCTTTAATGATTTGTTTATAACTATATATATATATTTATATGATACTCATTAGCCATGTCTGAATTTCTCGTCGCCCAAAGAACATGAGTACCTCCGAAGTTCTTTAGCTTTTATGCATGTTCCGCCAACTGAGTCCACTAAGCTTTATTCCCCAAATGATTTTTTCAAGCTGAGCTCACTCATTTTTTGAGTTCTTTCAAGCTCGCCTGTATTAATGGAGTCCTACCAAGTTTGCCACTAGCTATTTGGCTGGAGCATTGAGCTCGATGAACAACTCTTTGAGGTAGAAGAATGTCAGTCTATCATCAAGTATATATACATTTATTGAGTGTCTGACATTTATTCCCAAAGGTCTTATTAACAATGAGTCTATCTATGATTCGTATAATACAATCTATGATATAGCATTTTATCTATTCTTTAAACCCCCATGAGGGTACAAAGCCTCTATGGTGTATTAATAAGAAGAAAAGAAGAGAAAAAAAGAAGGGGCAAACACAAATGCTAGCTCTCTCTCTCTCTCTCTAAAAATATCGTGTTCTCTCTCTAAGAAGTACCTCGACTTCTTTCCCCTTCTTTTGTAAGGTTTCCCCCGAATTTTATGAGTTCACAAATTATGCGGGATCATATATCTTAAAAAGAATTTAACATTCTAAAATGTATGGTGAGCATGTAACTCATTTTTAAAATTCAATAAGAGCTTTTTATTCGAAAGAGAAGCGAAGAACAATGATGGATTTGTGATGCAACAAATGAATGAATTCAAAGAACAAATGAATAAAACAATAGAAGAGCAAGGCTTAAGAGGACAAAATTGGTACACTAAGATGGCAGAAGTTGTGTAAAGGCACCCAAAATAGAATCAACACCTTGTGTAACTATAAAAAAGAATGGATACAGGGTGATTCATATGTCTAATAGAAAAACGTTGGGATATTCCTTATTACGATGGTGATTATTTTCTAGTCCTTTCTCCATTTTTTACCATTAGCTCTTAATTATCCTCTTGTAATATTTATCTGATAAAGCTTTAATTGCTGGGCAAGGTTGAAATTGACTAGTTTCAAGTGTTATTGCATTCTGGAATTATTGGACCACCTAATTTGCTATTGGCATACTTCAAGACTGGAGATGATAAGCGAGTATTCAAATATCAACCCATACTCATCACACCAAGTATTCAATGATGAGACGGAAAACAGAGTGCGTGTCGGAGTAGATGTTTAATCTACTTGGAAATGTGAATCATGCAGTAAATGTCAATGTAAGCAAATAATTTCTCCACCTATTTCTTTATTTTTGTAGCTTTTTTAGCTTGTCAGTATATCGTTTGTTAATTTTGGGTTTAATTGCTCATTATATCTCATTGATATTGCTTAGGGTTTTATATGTATATAAATAAACTGCCCTGTTAATCACTATAGACACATATCAAGAATCATGAAAATTAATATTATCACTTGTTTATGTAAGATCTCTGTTCAAGGTGATAGCAAATGCAATCTTAACTCACTAAGATTATTAATCATTATTATGGTGGGAGAGACTCTTATATTGGTCCATGTAACACTAATATTACTATTATTATGATGTGGAATGCTGAATAAGGATGTGCCATAAGTTCTTTTTAATGCTGATTACAACAAGATTGACAATTTGTAACGTCATGTTACATTATGATTTACAAAGCAATGTCATATTAGTCTCTTTTATTAGTCATTAGTGTGGTAACTTTTATATTTTGTAGCCATTTTTGTATTATGAGCTTGTACTAATCTTAGGATATGTAATTTTTATGTTCGAAATTGTTGCCTTAATTTCAATAATTAATGTTGAATAGTCTTGTAACTCTTATAAGCTTATCCTCTCGTAATGCATAGTTGCTTTCATTCCAGGAATCTGATCCTTATGAGGATAGCAACACGAAGTCGATAAGGAGATTAAAATGGGCTACGTTGTCATCACATATTAGGCTTTTTGGCCATAGACAAAGAGGTCATTCTTCTCAATGTATCATCATATTTTTTCCTGTTAGTATATTGTTAATTGTTGTCTTTTTTTTCCCTTTTGTTTAAATGTGTTCATGTACATTGATCTCTTATTTAGATAAACCTAATTTGATCTTATTATTTAAAGAACCTAAATTTTTCGTCAAGCTATTTCGCAAACCTTGTGTGATAAATTTATTTTATAAAAAATAATTTTAATCTTTAACTATTTTGTAGATATGCACTATCTATCTTGTAAAATTGAACTCATACTTTAGAAGTGAATACAAAATAACATTTGTAAGGCATCATTCTTTTATGATGATCTTGTTTTGATTGTCCAATTGGTTTCGTATAAGCATCATCAGATTGCAAAATAAAGTATGATATTGAAGTTAATTAAAATATGTTGCAATGACATAATTTGACTACAAGATGTGTTGTTGGAATGGGCGGTGATGACAAATGCATCTGGTGATAAATTTGGGATGACAAACTAATGTTATCTCTCTTGGCCCGAGGACCTTGTGAGGGTACAGGATCGACACTATCGACATTTTATAAGAGATAATCCTTGCTTTCTTAGGCTGTCAATAGTTCTGATCCGACAGTGTAATTGACATGTGGACAATGTGGTTACAAAGCGTACAATATAATGATAAAATAAAGATACATTTTTTATAGAACTGATATTTTGATTGCTAAAAAAATACAACTTGCATAATAAATTACAAATTTTGGGTGCAACTTTCTAAGTGTCCACTTGTCAGTTACTTGGACTGGGTTAAGAATTGCCCTCCTTCGATTGTCTTTTTGGTAATTTATAGTCAATGTCAGACTTTATACACAGATTGTCGATGGTTGCCTATCGATACCTTCAGAAATGATAAATTTGAGCTCATCTCTAACTCGAAATACTTGTGGTCCAATTGCGATCTTTCATATAAGATTGTCGCTTATTTTTACTTCAATCTCTATTAAGGACCTGAGAATATGATAAATCACTTATTTTCACTTAAATCAAAATTTGAATATCATATTTCTAGGTCCCTAATAGTGATGCAAGTAAAAATAAGTGATAGTCTTATATGAAAGATTGAAACTGGAATATAAGTATTTCGAGTTAGTGATAGACTCAGATTTATCATTCCTGAAGGACTCCATAGGATATCATTGGCAATCTGTGTGTGTCAAATCTCACGTTGACTATAATTACCAACAAGATAATTGAAGGAGGGCAATTCTTAACCTAATTTGGGTAACTGACAAGTGGGCGCTTAGAAAGTTGCACCCGAAATTTGTAATTTTTCATGCATGTAAGTAAGCTGTATTATTTTTAGCAATCAAAATATCAGTTCCATAAGAAAATGTATCTTTGTTTTATTATTGTATTGTATGTTTTGTAAATCACATTATCCACATGTCAATTACACTATCGGATCAGAACTATCGACAACCTAAGAAAGTAAGGATTATCTCTTATCAAATGTCGGTGAAGAGTAGTGTCAATCATGTACCCTCACAAGGTCCTCAGGTCAGGAGACAATACTATTATGTCATCCCAAATTCATCACTAGATGACTTTGTCATCACTGCCATACCACCAACACGTCCAACTTATATACCAATCTAATGGTCAATATAAATTTTCACATTTCAAAATATCTTCAGTTGCTCACAAGGGTTTGAATATCATATTCAAGACTCATACCCTTGAGCATTGAGTTTTACTGTAGCTTATGTTGTTGTATGATATTTCCTTTAATATGTGGATTTAAGGATCTTGAGTCATATCTTGGTGGATCCTTATGAATTTCATTTGGTGTTGGATTTTAATGATTTTTTTTATTTTAATGATTTTTTTTACTTATTAGGGATGCTTTTCCTCAATAAATTGTAGTAAGCCCAAATATCCTCTGAAATATCTAAAATCTCATAGAGGTGTTAGGAGGGTGACTCCGAACAACTCTAGAATCTACTGGACTATTTCAAGTTCGTTCAACCTTACTATATGGTTAAGTTGATCAACCTATGTTGGATTAGAAATTATGTTTTATGCCTTAATATGTGCTCAATGTTTTCATGTCTTAATTAACCAATGAGTAAGACATCAATCAATTCTTAATGTTATAGTAAGAATCTCATGGCCAAAACCCTAAGGGCGTATCTACAAAGTATTGGGAGGCTTACACTCTTGTACTTTCCGTTGGGACTAAGCTTGTGGTATCACAAGATATCATTATCATTTAAGTTTTCATCCTTGAATTATTCTCCAAATATTGTCATCTTGATTTACCTCGAGCCTCTAAAGACTTAGGGGTAATCTTGTAATTTTGTAAAAGTTATGTAAAAAAAAGTTGTTTGATCCTCATTATAATGATTGAAATATGTTTAACCATTAATTCAAAGTTTAAATTAGTAATTTATTGATCTTCTTAGACATACCCCTCGTTCTTGGATCATCCAAGTTTTCACTTTTTCCTATACATAATTATTCAAGTAATTACTATTTTGCACTTCTTTCTATAGAAAGTGTTTTGAATAGGTTACTACCTTAGTCATCCCTTGTGTTTCAGTTAAATAAATGAGCTAGTCATCATAGATTTTGTCCCATATCCCTTTAGTTTAACCTAGAAGTTAATTAGATTAGGGCTACAGTGTAAAAACCCAAAATTACAATTATGCCCTTAGT